AGTGAAGGCTTCTCAAGATGTATAATTTGAAAAGGAGTCCCAAATCATATAAAATGAATCTGGGGTCTCCAGACCCTCACATAGTTTCAGTTGGTGTGTTATCTTCCCTAATATGGCAATATTCCAGAGGAACTGATATCATACTCAAGTGCCAAGTTCTACACACTTTTCCAGTGATGTGGCGAGGCAGACTACTGAGATGTTTAGCAAGATACCCATGTTGTCCTCCTCATCAAAGATGTCCGAAAATATTGATTGTAGCCTCAATAACGCATTTTCTTGCAGTATATTTCATACTTCCTGGTATAAATTTGTCCAGAAATCAGCCACGAAGTTGCACTCCCACCAGAGGTGGATGCAAGTGCCTCTTCTGCACCCACAACCCCTCCAGCATGTTAGGCCAACCTTCTCAGACATGTTATATGACTATACAGGCATACAATACCATCTGTGCATACTATTCAAGGAATTATCCTCGGTATATGCTGAAAGTGATCTAAATGCTCTCGAGCTCCGGATGGTGCTTCTGTGATTTGCTTGTATATCTAATCCAGGGGTAGGCAACCTAAGGCCTGGGGGCCGGATGTGGCCCAATCGCCTTCTCAATCTGACCCGCAGACGGTCCGAAAATCAGCATGTTTTTACATGAGTAGAATGTGTCCTTTTATTTAAAATGCATCTCTGGGTTATTTGTGGGGCATAGGAATTTGTTCATATTTTTTTTCAAAATATAGTCCAGCCCACCACATGGTCTGAGGGACGGTGGACCAGCCCACAGCTGAAAAAGGTTGCTGACCCCTGTTCTAATCTAATCTAATACTTCCTACTTCCCATATTGCTGTAAGAATAGTTGCAGGGTCCAGGGATACATCAATTAAAATCGTATAAATTGCAACTTAGCATCCCCTCTCCTTGCAGCTGATGAAATCTGTGGGTGGGGGGGTCCCCAAACCTTACGATGAATCAGTAGGTTGTAGGTGGCCCCCTTTTTGCTCCTTTGTGGCTCTCTGTTTGTTGCACAACAGAAGATCCTGGGGGAAGTGGTGTTTTTGTTCTCTCTCTTAAGGGAGTACATACTGCAATAAACTCTCTCTCTCTCTCTCTCTCTCTCACACACACACACACACACACACACACACAGACACACACAATATTGACACATGGAGCAGAACAAGGCTAAACGTTCCAGGGACATTCCAAGTTATTGCTGAGAATTCCAGGTTTACTGCTCAGATAGTCAGTGTGTCCCTCCCAACAGCTCCCGGTTGGAAATGCAGGCCAGCTCTGAAGCTCTTCTAAAGCAGTATTCCAGAGGGGAAGGAAAGTGTAAATGATTGATGCTGCTAGCCGAGGAAACAAGGGGAACGGGGCTTATTAATGCTCTTTTATGATTTCAACAAACCTCTTGCTCCAAAGCAGTTCCAGTACTGGTCAAATCCACATTGAAAGCACTCTCATAACACTTTAACTGCCGTGGCTTTCCCCGAAGAACCGTGGGAGCGGTAGTTTTTTAAGAGTGCTGGGACCTCAGTGAGGGGTCTCCCAACAGCTCTGAGTACCTTCAACAAGCTACAATTCCCAAGATTCTTGGAAGGGGGAAGTCACGGCTGTTAAAATGTTATGAAAGTGCTTTACATTTCATGCAACAAGTCCTCTTCTTTAACCTTTAATTATTATTATTATTATTATTATTATTATTATTATGCCACCCATCTAACTCTTGAGTGGCTTCCAACAAATTAAAGCATCAAACACAGTAAAACATCAAACATTAAAAACTTCCCTATACAGTGGTACCTCAGGTTAAGTACTTAATTTGTTCCGGAGGTCCGTACTTAACCTGAAACTGTTCTTAACCTGAAGCACCACTTTAGCTAATGGGGCCTCCTGCTGCTGTCGCGCCGCCGGAGCACGATTTCTGTTCTCATCCTGAAGCAAAGTTCTTAATATTTCTGGGTTAGTGGCATCTGTAACCTGAAGCGTATGTAAGCCGAGGTACCACTGTATATATTGCCAAAATTGCTTCTTAGCAGTTTACAGGAATAAAACCAGTTGCAACACACACACACTAGAACAATTCCATTGAAATACCACAACATCCGTAATTAAAATGTGCAATAATGCAAGCCCATTAAGATGGAACAACAGTTAAAACATCAATTAAAAGCATAGGAGCTCTGTTCTCTTTTGCATCTGGCAACCCCTGACATCATTCCAATGGTTCTTATTAGGGTCAGGCTTTAGGGCCGAACTCCAGAACCCCAAAATGAGTAAGGAGGAAAGGAAGTGAGCAGGCCTGACTGACCACATTTTGAACTACATGAAGTAATATACATTACCATCTGAAGGGGGGGGGAGGTGGTCGTGTCATCATAAAACTATTAAGCCCAGAATCTAAGATTATTGCATTTCACCTCTGCCTCCCTTCCCATCTCCCACCCCAAGTTGTTCTTGGGGATGCACTGCTAATCTGATTTCTGTCTGGCACTAAATCATGCTGAATTGTTGGGCTTTTCAAAACTATGGTTGAAATAGCAGAGCTTATTAACAGGAAGCCCAGAGGAAGAATGACGAAACGACTGCATGTCAGGGCTTGGACATTTTTTTTCAGCGACGGATTCTCAAAAACGACTGGTTCTGGTTTTGGTTATTAGTCCGTCTGAGCAGAAACCATTACAAATGCCTTGAAGTCTGTCAAAATAAAAGTCCTTCTTGGGTGAGTGGGTGGGGGACATTTTTGATGCAGAAGTACCTCTTACTATGGTTTTCTGAGTCTCTTCCATTCATCCTCTCGGTTTTTCTAAGTTAAGATTTCTGCATAATCATGAACTAAGGATGTCATGCAGCTTCCCCTCACATTTTTCTTCCTGGTTTTCCTGAGGGCTACTTTCAGTTTCCAGATGAATGGTTACTTTGCCTCCTTTTCTAACTAATGGCTTTTTAAATAAAAGCTCTAAGAGATCCACTTTGGCTCTCAGTGTTGCGGTGCTCAAAACTAGCCTCCCCTAGCCTTGTACCTCAATCCCTATTGTTTGTTTGGCTGTGTTGGAAATCGCTCAGCTTCTCGCATACTTTTGCAACGCTTTGCATTTGTTTACATGCTTATTTATTTGTTTGACAGGAAGGGTGCTTCCAGATAGTTGCCATTTTTGAGGGGATGCCAGTCATGTACCAGAAAATCCCGGTTGCACAGGTAGAGACTTGCACAACAAATCCTCTTCCCTAAAGGAGCAGACTTTTTGCAAGAAGGAAAGTGACATGAAAATGCACTCGAAAGTGTGGGATAGCACTTGCTTTGCCACGGAAAGGAAACTGTGAGAATGATCAGGAACATACCAGAGAGGAAATCCTATTGAACTCAGTGGGACTTTGTTCTGAGTAAAAATGCTTGGGATTACAGTATAAGGCTTCAAAGTCTTTACCCAGTTACCTGGAAGTAAGCTCCATTGAATACAGTGGGACTTCTTTCTGAGTAGACAGTGAAAGGCTCCATTTACAATAAAGGAATCAACACTCTGCTTGTTTCCTTAAAAAATTGCTGGCTGCTGAAGCATTGCAATTAAATAATTTAGTCTTTGGTGACATTTTCCTTCAAAATTGTAGGATGAGAAGAAGATGAGGAGGAGGACTTAGGAGGAGGAGGAGGAGGAGTTTGGATTTGATATTCCACTTTATCACTACCCTAAGGAGTCTCAAAGCGGCTAACAATCTCCTTTTCCCTTCCTCCCCCATAACAAACACTCTGTGAGGTGAGTGAGGCTGAGAGACTTCAAAGAAGTGTGACTAGCCCAAGGTCACCCAGCAGCTGCATGTGGAGGAGCGGGGAAGCAAACCCGGTTCACCAGATTATGAGTCCACCGCTCTTAACCACTACACCAAACTGGATGGGCTTTGTATACCAGCTTCACCATTTCCTCAGTTTGGTGCAGGAATTTTATTTTCACTATGAACAGAACTCAGTTTTTGCACCTACACAAAAACACACCACTTTTAATTGTTTTCTGAAATGTGGAGGGGAGGAAAAAGGAAAATGGAGACATTCCAGGATCAAATAAAAAACCGTGACGGCTTCTGTCATTGCAGGACTGTTTCCGGAAAATTGGGACACTTGGAGGTTATGCGATTTTTCTGTATGTTTAAAGAAAAATCAACAAAAACATTCAAAATTGAATAAAAAATTAAACTTCCACAGTAAACCTTTCAAGTGTGAACTATCTGTAGCCTCATTGCCTCACTCAGGACCAGGAGAGTGGTTGGTGATATTGTAGGATGCTATTTGCAATCCAGCCCAGAAGCAGTGCCCATTCTCTTTTTCTTATTATTCATGTTATAGTGATAGATCTAGGCCTGTTCAGAGGTGAGTGCGCATCATCTAGTCCCCCAAGCGATTGCATGTCATCTCATTCCCACGAAGGTAGCCCTTTGGAAAGAGAAGGGAGCTGTCTTCAGTGCCTCCCTATCCCTTCCTGCCACCATTACTTTGAAGAAAGAGAAACAACAGGAGAGATGGAAGCGACAAAGTTTCCTCGCCACTGCAACAGTGAGTCTGGAGAAGCCTGATTTACAGAGACAGCCTTTGTCAGTTGCATCAGACTTTTGAGGACTCGCTGGGGAGAGGAGAGTGTGTTTGCATGTGTGAAAGAGACAGAAGATCAAACACCACAAAAAGTGCCTAGATTCAGACATTGCTGCCTCTGGCAGCACAACTTGGGGCCAGGTTACCTAAGGGATTGCCTCGCTCCATATATCCCTGAGCAAGGTGAGGCTCTGCTAAGATTTCTGTTGGTTTAGAGAGTGGGCTTTTGGTGCTGCAGCTCCAGCCCTCTGGAATGAGTTACCAAATGAAATCAGACACGTGCTAAGCTAAGCTTCCTGGGCTTTGGAATTCAGCGATCTACCTGACCAAACAATGGTCAGCTATAATGTCACAATACAGTGGTACCTCGGTTTTGGAACGTAATCCGTTCTGGAAGACCGTTCGAGTTCTGAAACCCGAAAATTCAAAACGAAAGCCTCAATATGGAAGCCTCAATACGGAAAACTCAATACAGAAGCCACGTGGCATGTTTGACTTCCAAAATGTGTTCAAAAACTGAAGCATTTACTTCAGTTCGAAAACTAAAACATTTATCAACGGAGACGTTTGAAAACCGAGGTACCACTGTATCTTCTAAATAAGGGCTGTTGTAGAAAATCCTGTTGTGAAAGAATACTGTTGTATAGCATGATTGGTCATGTTCCATCTAATAAAGGCTAAACAGAATGAGCTCCTTCTAAAGGTATGGCAACTGAATTTCTATTAGCAGCCTCAAAAAGTAGTATTGCCTTTTTTTTACTTTTTTAAGAAAAAGCTTTTTCCTTATTTTTGGAGCTTACCATTGGTTAGCTTCACCAGTGTCCCACAAAAATGTTGCTTGTCCGGTTGCGGGATTTATAGTCATCCTGAGTATCTCTAGATTGTTGTCTGCCAGAGAAAACAATTTATTGGCAAATTCATTCCGCTTCAATAAGAAGACTGCACAAAATATTTCTCTCTCTCTCTCTTCCCTAGTGTGGCTGTTCGTTCTTTCTATCTTTTAAGGTGTGCTTTGGTCAAGATGTCCGACTCTTTTTATTTAAAGAAATGAATTCAATAATTCATACTGAGGCTTTTCTGTAAAAGTGGCTGAGAGTTGTGAGGAGGGAATTAAATTTAATGCCCGCTGTTTCCCCTGCCTTTGCCGGGAGGAGGAATGAGCAGCAACGAAGAACTTCACACTTTTTGCTGACACTGGGAAACAAGTGAGGACCTGCTAGTCTAGGTTACCTGAGCGCCTCTTGAAAGGTGACACACATGATGAGTTGGAGGATGGATGGTGGCTAACAGATTGAGGTTGAATCCTGACAAGACATAAGTACTGTTTGGGGGGGGGACAAGGGATGGACTCCCTGGTCCAGAATGGGGTAACTGTGCCTCTGAAGGACCAGGTGCGCAGCCTGGGAGTCATTTTGGACTCACAGCTGTACATGGAGGTCAGGTCAATTCTGTGTCCAGAGCAGCTGTCTACCAGCTCCATCTAGTACACAGGCTGAGACCCTACCTGCCTGTGGACTGTCTCACCAGAGTGGTTCATGTTCTGGTTATCTCCCGCTTGGACTACTGCAATGCGCTCTATGTGGGGCTACCTTTGAAGGTTACCCAGAAACTACAACTAATCCAGAATGCGGCCACTAGACTGGTGACTGGGAGAGGCCACCAAGACCACATAACACGGGTCCTGAAAGACCTACATTGGCTCCCAGTACCTTTCCGAGCACAATTCAAAGTGTTTGTGCTTACCTTGAAAGCCCTCAGCTCAGTATACCTGAAGGAGCGTCTCCACCCCCCATCGTTTTGCCCAAACACTGAGGTCCAGCGCCAAGGGCGTTCTGGTGGTTCCCTGACTGCGAGAAGCGAAGTTACAGGGAACTAGGCAGAGGGCCTTCTCAGTAGTGGCGCCTGCCCTGTGGAACACCGTCCCATCAGATGTCAAGAAATAAACAACTATCTGACTTTTAGAAGACATCTGAAGGCAGCCCTGCTTAAGGAAGCTTTTAATATTTGATAAATTATTGTATTTTAATATTTTGCTGGAAGCCGCCCAGAATGGCTGGAGAAACCCAGCCAGATGGATGAGGTAAAATAATTATGATTATGATTACGATTAGTGAATCAAAGAGGCGAGGAGTTCCATCACACAGGATATGACACTTGGGGAGTAGAGAGACATAACAGAGGATTCCTTTCCCTCTGTTGTGCAACGTTGCTCAGGATCTGTTGCCGCAAGATGTGGTGACCACTGCAAAACATTTCCATTTGCTCAGATTATGTTATGGTCCAGATCTAACAATAACAGCTAAGAACACTTCCAGAACGAGCTGTGGTCCTGCAAAGAATAGCCTTTTTCTTTTTTCTATTTGCGTTTCCAGGAAAAGACAGCATTGTTGCTGCTTCAAGCATGCCACGCAGCACAGACTGAAATCTTTGGCATCTCACTCTGGCTTCCACTGTGAGTCTCTCTCTGCCTCAGACGCTCCCTCAGCCAAAAGCCAGCTGCTTATTAACTCTTGGATCAGAGCTGAATAGCACTGCCTGTGGACATGGTCTCCCCTATCGCAAAACATTGCAAGTTCACCAAGGAGATCTGGTTCCTTTGCAAACAACAGATACTGGGCTTCCTTTTCTCTGATGTGCAAAGTTTCCCTGGCTAGAATGGGGGTCTTTGCATCATGTGATTCATCTGCCTGCAATCAGAAGCAGTACAGTTCCAGGAGTTTTGTACCATGTGAATCTTCTGTGGTGTTGTTAGGGGACAGACCTTTCACACACACAAATAAAATCACCAAATGCAGCGTTCTGCTTCAGGAAGTCTTGCTGCTGTTCTTAAGAATGATGAGTTTAACCCTTATCCTCTCAATGCACATTGAATTTGCATGTACAATGGGTCCTGAAGCATTTAGCACTTAATGTACAAAGCAGACTTATTTATAAAAGTTAGGTAAAGGTAAAGGGACCCCTGACCATTAGGTCCAGTCATGACCGACTCTGGGGTTGCAGCGCTCATCTCGCTTTATTGGCCGAGGGAGGTATTGATCACCCCAAGAGAAATAAGCATATTTTTTCAGCTTGTGGAAGCAATTGTAGCAAATGTCTGTGGAGATATAAACGCGCACACATTTTTAAAATGCCCTCTCACATCCCTTTCCCCTGTTTTATATAATGTGGCCTTTATAGCCAGACCCTTTGGGGGGGGGATTAAGTCCTACTCTAAGAGTTAAAAAAGAATGCGGTTCATTGCAATTTCATAAAAGTACAATTCTTTATTTAGCAGGCATTTGGAGAAAGTGCATTCCAGTCATCTTGCCAGGGCTGGCAAAACAGTCACAATCCAAACTCGTGTGATGAAAAGAAAAAAGTTGTCAAATGAGCCCTTATTTTAGCTGCATGTCAAAACACTAAGGCTGAGTGTAGCTTTTGGTCTGTCCTTTGCCTGTATACAAATATAGATATAATGCTAAGTTATCATGTCATCATTCAACATGGCATAGCATTTCCCCAGCCTGGTTTATATTACCTATAACATTAAGAACTGCCAGTCCACTCCTTAAGCTGGAAGCCACTGAAAGACAGGCTGCCACATATCCAATGAGTCAGCAGCTGAAGGATGAGAACAAATCCATTCCTAGTGTGGGCAACAGCTCTCGCTAAGATCTGGTTGGCTCAGTATACCAACACTTATATTTGCTTACCCAGTCCTGGTATCAAAGCTCTACCCAAACTCTAGACAAATGTAAAAGAAAGCAAGGACAGCATGGTCCACTCTGGCCTATGAGCCATGTTGACTAGCTTCAGAATGCCATCCACAACTAGCTGAGCTGACAGCTACCATGAATTTAAAGGACGCTTCACAACTATTGGTGCAGTAAAATGATTATAGAGAAGAGATGCCCCCCAAAAAGTCTGCAAGACGTAGGAGATGAACAAAAGGCAACACAATCTTCTTCATCTCTTGCAGCAGCCCAGAAGCTGTGGTTTCTTAAAGGCGGCGAGAATTGTTTGGAGATTCCTATTCCACTCACAGAGCTATAATTTTCACAGTGGTTTAACAGTCAAAACCTTTTCCCATAGAACTTTGGGGACTGTGAGGGGAATAAGGGTGGGAGGGTATGGTAGGATATCCCTATTTTCATTGGAGAAATGTTGGAGGGTATGGAGTATGATGTCCTTATTTTCATCAGAGAAGTGTTGGAGAAGATATCCCTATTTTCATCAGAGAAACATTGGAGGGTATGGAATAGGATGTCCCTGTTTAATTAGAGAAATATTGGAGGGGACATCTATATTTTCATTGGAGAAATGTTGGAGGGTATGGAATAGGATGTCCTTCTTTTCATCAGAGAAACATTGGAGGGTATGGAATAGGATGTCCCTGTTTAATTAGAGAAATATTGGAGGGGACATCTATATTTTCATTGGAGAAATGTTGGAGGGTATGGAATAGGATGTCCTTCTTTTCATCAGAGAAACATTGGAGGGTATGGAATAGGACATCTCTATTTTCATTGGAGAAATGTTGGAGGGTGTGTTATTCATCTTCCATGGTTTTAAGTATGATAATATTATCTTCTCCTCTTCTTGTTGATAGGTTTTGCATTTGTTGTAAAGCAGTTTGTTCGTTTTAAACACACACACACAAAAAAAATGTGGTATAAAATGTTTAATAAATCAATCAAACAAATGGGATGAGAATGGAAAATATAGGGGCTAGTTTTATACTGAACATCCAATCCACAAGTGAATGGCGATTATTTTTAGATTTCATAAGCCACAGGAAATATATGCTTGAGAAAGGTCCACTGAGCAAATGCATCCCAATTGTGTGTGTGTGCCTGTAAGTCCTCTTGCTTCAGGCTTTTCTGGATAGCTTGGCTCTTGGGAGGCCTCTGCAGATCTAATTAAACTGCAATGAAAAGCGCTTTGAGCCACAGTCCTCCATGCATTTACTTGGAGGTAATTCCATTGAAAGGATGACGTAATTTCAAGATTCAATGTATAGGGTTGACCTGCAAGGGAATCTACTTCCTCACACTCCCATCCTCCCCACATTCATCCAAGAGACATACAATTGAAGTAAACTACGTATGTATCTACACTTAGGGACGTGGGTGGCGCTGTGGGTTAAACCACAGAGCCTAGGACTTGCGGATCAGAAGGTCAGCGGTTAGAATCCCCGCGACGGGGTGAGCTGCTGTTGCTCAGTCCCTGCTCCTGCCAACCTAGCAGTTCGAAAGCACGTCAAAGTGAAAGTAGATAAATAGGTACCACTCCGGCGGGAAGGTAAACGGTGTTTCCGTGCGCTGCTCTGGTTCGCCAGAAGCAGCTTAGTCATGCTGGCCCCATGACCCGGAAGCTGTATGCCAGCTCCCTCGGCCAATAAAGCGAGATGAGCGCCGCAACCCCAGAGTCGGCCAGGGGTCCCTTTACCTATCTACACTTAAAAAGATAAGTTAAGCTTTCATAGGTAGAAATGTACTATTTGGTAAGTTTGCCAGGAATAACATGTATTTCAAAGGTATTGCATAATAGGGCTTCCTAACCTTTCTAATCCAGTTTGTAATTTTGAGAAAGTGCTGTAGGCACCAGTCACAAAATGGCTGCCATGGGGCATGATGCAGTGCATAATGGCCACTGCATCAAATACAAATACCTTTATTGGCATTATGAGTTAAAACATTTCAAAACACTAGGATAAATTTTAAAGGGACAGGAGTGAGGCTGTTGAGGATCACAAGGTACTCGATTGTTCTGCTTCACCCTGTCTATTCCCTAGAGGGATGATTCATTAAGAACCCTTTCAGGTAAAATGGAGATTAAAAAGGAAGCCACTGGAGCACAGGATCACAACTTGCATTGGTAGACCCCCATATTGGATCCTCAGTTAGAGTTATCATGTTCACTACAGTGAAAATCTAGGCAAAATTGTTGACCTTTTGGGGGGAATATCTTCCCCTCAACAACATCGGGAGGGCCGCAGATTCCCCAGCAATGGTCAGCGCTGGGTATGACTCTTATTGGTTATTGGTTTTTACCCAATACTTATTTATTGTTTAGGATGGATTGCTTTCTTGTTAGCTGTTAGTATGGCTTGTATACTCCCCACTGACTGAAATTTTGTAAATATATTCTCTCTATAAAGGAATACAAGCTATATTACATTTCTTGATGTTCACCATTTTGGTATTCTCTTTTTATGATTCAGTATATAAATTTGAACAAATAAATGTGTTGTGTTACATGTGTTTAAAAATATAAGCAACTGCAGACTTTTCCCCTCAAGCAATCTGAGGCTGTGCCTACATGTCTGTCTCTGCTCCTCCCATTTCACGCCTCTTCTGGTTCTGGGAGACCAAGGAGGAGGGGAGCTTGTTGCAGTAGGAGAGGGAGACACCTGTGCCTCTTCCGCAGCCTGCCTCCACTCTGCCTCCGAGTTGGGGCTTCTCTCTGCCACAGACTCTCCCCGCTCACTAAACCTTGTTCCTCTTCGGCTTCTGACACCTCCTCCTCCCAGTCTTCTCCCTCTGACCACTCATCATCATTCGACCACCACTCCCCAGGCTCTGAGTCTTCTTCCCTTGTGGGTTCCCCAGTTGGTTCCTCCCACCATTCCTCTTTGTCCAACCAGTCCCTGACACTGAGATATGAAAAGGAAGCCAGCTTTTCTCAGTCCTGTCCTCAGCTGAATGCTCGCTAAGCATCTCTGCGTGGATCTAAACTTATGTGCATTGCAATGACTCACGGCACTTACACCACAAAAGGAACAAAAGAGTGGCAACGCCTTCCCGATGTGAGGGGCTGGAGAATACAGTAAGTAATGTGAAAGCTTTGCCAATAACATTACTGGCCACCCAGCCAACATAAGTAATTAAGGCAAAAGGATAAAACAAAACTGTATCTAGCCAACATTGCTGATTGAAAGAATGAAGGAGCATGACCATAAACGTAGGTTATCATGACATGCAGAAAAGCACATATCGAAATAGAGAATGAGAAAGAGAGAAATGTAAAAATATGGGCTTTTATATATACAGTGGTACCTCAGGTTAAGTACTTAATTCGTTCTGGAAGTCCGTACTTAACCTGAAACTGTTCTTAACCTGAAGCACCACTTTAGCTAATGGGGCCTCCCGCTGCCGCAGGAGCATGATTTCTGTTCTCATCCTGAAGCAAAGTTCTTAACCTGAGGTAATATTTCTGGGTTAGCGGAGTCTGTAACCTGAAGCGTATGTAACCTGAAGTGTATGTAACCCGAGGTACCACTGTATATTTTTTTTGATACAGTCGTACCTTGAATCCCGAACGCCTTGCAAGACGAACATTTTGGCTCCCAAACACCGCAAACCCAGAAGTAATTGTTCCAATTTGCGAATGTTTTTTGGAACCCAAACGTCCATCACAGCTTCCAATTGGCTGCAGGAGTTTCCTGCAGCCAATCAGAAGCTGCGCCTTGGTTCCAGAATATTTTGGAAGTTGAAGGGACTTCTGGAACGGATTCCGTTCGACTTCTGAGTACATACATGAGATGTATACAAAACTCTATGCATGCTCTGCTTGTTATATTTTGGTTAAGTACAAAATATTGACCAGCCTTACCCTATTTTTTTTATCAGTATGATCCGTCTGTCTACACCAAACTGCATATCTGTATCACAGAGCATCTCCCTATCTCCACTTACCTGGGAGTAAGTCCCACTGAACTTATTTACCATACAGTGGTACCTCTGGTTACATACTTAATTCGTTCCAGAGGTCTGTTCTT